AAGATAATAGTTTACAGAAAATAAGTCATTTCTGTAAAATGATTCCATCATTCTAAACACCCTAATAACATTAAATTATTTTTCCAAGATTGATAATGCCGAATTGATTTATAGTAGCAAAAAAAGGTACAAACGCCGAAGCATGGTGTGCCACGCTTTATTTGGCATCATGGAATTTTTTCTGGTAATATCAGTAATATTTGTTTCTAAAATGCTAAAAAATATATCGGCTTGCTTTTATGAAGTATTTCATTCTTTTATGGCATGAAATGTGAGAAATTTTCTGCATTTAATGGAACCCCTTGGTGGACATCCCTTGAAGGAATGATTATGCAATCTTTGGCATGTAAATGAAGCATTTACTATAAATGTGCTTCATTAAAATATTAGCTTGTAGTACTATTCATTGGAACAAAATTTAAGTACTGAAATTAGTTATCCTCCTCTTACCATATTCTCAAGATACAGTTGTTACACCAAATCCAATCATCTACTAGAAAAATTAACATTATCAACTTTCAATAACCACCACTTTACAATGCATCATCTACCTAGACATAACACAAAAATGAAGCACAAATAAAACAACAATAAAATAGTAGTTTTCAACTGAGTGACAAACTGGTGTAGCATTGACAATGAGTTTTAATTTAGAAGGCTACCTCAAAAAGGTTATTTTTGTAAACTCTTAAGACTCTGCAGCAACTACTTCCTTAACCACAAGGAGTTAGCTTCTTGTTGCCAGCACCACGAGGGTTGTCATCTTTCCAGTCATCCCATGCTCTTGCCTTGTCCTGGGCGGCGTCATCATCATCTTCTTCATCATCTTCACCTGGCCTCGACTTGGGGGTGTCCTTGTACCATGAGGAATTTGCTTCTTCCATGAGCTTAACATTCCTTTCTTGCCATTCGTTCATCATATTCATCTCCGTTAATCCAGCTTCTTCTATGCTCATGGTTGGCAATCTAGCATTTGAATAAAGATATGACAGTTAGTTCTTCAACTTACTTGTCCATCAAGGATCTAAAACTGGAGTAGCCATATTAACTTTGTATTCAAGAGATGATGTATTCAAGAGATGATGCATACCTATAATGAGGCTGGAAGACCTGGGCAGCTATTTTTTCCCGTTCAGTTGTTGGGTTCCTACCAACAAGACTTGCAGGTCCAAAAATTAAAGGTTGATGTTTATGTTCATGTGCCTGTGAAACCTTGGCCCTCCCTTCTATGACATCTTGTGCAAAAGTGGCACAGGTGATAGGTGCTGCAGGTTTTGTATGGTGTGCTCGAGCAGCAGCATCGCGATGCCAAGTTTCTACTTTTTTGGTGCGTTCATCGAGTATTGCTTGAGAAAATTCTCTCTCCCCATCCTACAAAAGAAGTAAGAAAATACATGTTTAAGCAAAGCATAACCTTAGAGAGCAATGCTACAAATCTGTCTTTACATGATACGGAATCATTATGGTCAAAAACAGTGGTGCAAGCTAATGCTGATCTTCTAGGTAGTCTTGAGGGAAGGATTAAGCCCCCCNACCCTGCAAGAAGCAGTGTTGAAGTCATTTAAAGCTGTATCACTTCCTCTTGATCTAGCATTGTGTGATAATTGCACACCCAACAAGCTCCAGAACAATAGTTCTAACAAGGTCTCTCTTAGAAAAATTGCCTCGTTCTCTAAATTGCATAGGGGCAGAGCCACAGGATCAAATGAATCGATGATATGAACTAATTTAAGGAAGAGATAATTAAGGATGGAACACACAAGTTCAAAGAGCAATAGCCATAATCAGAGGCTACCAGAAAACAATGACAAATTAGAACAGAAAGGAAGCCAATTCAACTAAGCTTGTTTAACATTACCTGAAGCTGCTTCTCCTTCACAGCAGATAGTATTTCTTCCTCTTTCTTCAGCATTTCAAGCAGATCAAAGGCCTGCAGGGCAGTATTTTGGAAACTATGAACATAAGATATCAAACACAGAAAAAGGATCAATTAAAACGAGTATAGAAGATCTTAGCAGACCTTACAGAGGCCCAAGGAGATAGTTGTAAGCCATGCCTGCAATGCATAATAGTTTTGAAGAATCAGAAATTTAGTCAAAAGTGAATACAAAGAAGCCAGAACTTGAGGTTAAAAATAACTTGACAGAAGCGGTAGAAAATTTTGCACAAATCAGGGTGTGTGTATCTTAGAGGAATAATATTAGTTTAAACAATATAATGGCATCTAAAGAGCAAAACGAGATTCTTCCAAAAAATCACATCCAAAATGGAATATTGATAGTCAATGATGTCTTGAGCAAAATCTTGTGAGGAAATTAGGTTCAAAGGGTGAGGATAAACATTTCATGCAGATAACTCAAACAAATAATGAGTGCCTATCCAAGAGTCCACAGAAAATAGGCTCCAACAAAGGAAGATCCAAGATTTAAAATTTATGGGTTCAAGTTCGGGATTCTACAAAAACTCATTTGATTTACCAAGTTCCAAATCTATTATTTGTACTTATTTATGAATTTTTTAGCACATATTCAAGGTCCGAGCCAAAGCTATTGGGTTTGGATGACCCCGTAGGTTGAACTCTACATCCGCCCCTGGGCTCCAATGTTGTGACCTTCACTTGGCAACCTCTGAAAGAGCATTGCAGCAACTACTTAGATGCTCACCAACATCATCCAATAGACTATAACTTTTTTTATAACTTATATCAGATAATATATTTAAAGATTAACCAGCTTCTAAAACTGTTTTGAGCAATTGCTTGAACCATAAGGATGATCACCAATTAAGAGCAAGTGTGTCATAAAAGTTGCAACACCAGATAAAGAAACAGCTGACAAGAAAAGAAGCTTGTGCTAATGCTCATGTCCATGCATAACTAGGGGAGAATTAACTAACCTCCCTTTCTTCTTCTCCATCATCATCCAACACATCATCTTCTTCAGTCTCAACAGGACTTGACAATGCAGCTGCTTTAGTTGATCGTCCACGACGCTCTTTCCGCTCCTTAATTTCAAGTAGTTTAGACTCAGCAGCTCTTTGACGTTTGAAACGAGCAATCTAAAACATCATGTACTTTGTAAATCAATCTCACTAAAAAAAAGTAAAAGAACCAAAGCTTTCTTGTGATAAAGTTCCAATCCCTAAAAGTAACTGTCATATACAGCAATTCAACCGTTAAATCCAGCCTACCTTCTTAGCTCTACGATCTACAGAAGAATTAGCTCCACCTTGTGTAGATGTTTCTATCTCCTCTTCAGGAACAAGTTCCATTGTTTCACAAAATGAAATGAATTCCTAGAGATAAAAGAAAGGCAAATTAAAATGAGAAGATACCACTAAAAGATAAATTTTATTTTCCATAGGATATAATCTATTACACATCTTATAGTCTTTACCTTTAGCTTAGCTTGTGAAGCTTTGAGTACTTTTATCCTGTCATTGTCTGCAACTTTTTCTGTTAGCTCTGCAAGATAATAGGGGACCTGAAATAACGCAATATAAGACTCCATAACCCATTGAGTAAACCAGCCAACTAAAACAAGATCAAGTAGAATTTCTATGCAATATTGAAGCAAACTAAAAGTAGAAATGGATAAAGGAAGAACATCAAGTTTGATATTAGCAGATTCTAATAGGTGTTCAGGCAACTGATTGTCGTATGGACCTACATTTAAAATAGGTTAGATCGAAACCAAAGAGTCACTTCCAACCACAAAACAACTTGATGGAAGGAGCTCCGAGCCCTGACCGATGAAAAATAGGTTCATGTTCCGCAGAGTGACAAACCACAGGTTGATTCCCTTACAATCACGAATTTACTAGAATTTCCATGGGCAATGGTAGCACACATATCAAGAACCAGAGGAAGCCAAGGCTTAAACTGCCAGACAGAGACGAGGAAACAAGAGATGGTGTTTTATACAGACGATGATGATGTTACAGGTAGGATAGAGAAAAGGGAGGAAAAAAACAAAGAACTAGTGATAATGAAGAGGAGGGTGTGGGGAAGCACGTTGTGGAAGAAAATCATGATCAACAGAAGGAGAAAATACTTGGTGATGGTGATGAAATAGGTGGCGGTGAAGTACTCTTGGGTGGTCATGGAAGAAAATCACAATAACCAGCATGACCAAAATGATTTAGCTGAAAACCTTTCCACTGTCTGAGATAGGGCTGGGCATATATCGGGTAAAATCGATAACCCGAACCGTTAATTGTTTATTGGGTTATTAGTATCGGGTTATTGGGTTAACGGTTCGGTAACAGTTTAGAATTTTTTCACTACTGGGTTATCGGTTCGAGCCTCGGTTTGCCAATTTTGTTAATGGATTAACCGATAACACAATAAGAATTAATAAAATTACGACTTTACCCTTAAGTATATACATATGTTAGGCCTTCAGTTCATTCTCCTATTCTTTCTCAGCCGCACTCTTCAGTTGCTTCATCTTTATTCTTCATAGACCTTACTAGTTACTCCTAGCGTAAGTATTTAGTCTTATACATTAGGCATTTAATTTTTATAACAAAATTCATCTTCATATTGGTATTTTTGACTGTTAATGATTCTTTATTTTTATTTTTTTTTCGTTTCTTAATTTTGTGAGCTCACGTTGTGCAGCCTATACCTACTACCAATTTCTCTTCGCACTTATCAATTCTCAATCGACAATCTTCGTCAATTTCGGGTATATTTTTTAACATTATTCTTCTGTACAGTACGCTGAGCTTTGATAACAGGACAACATTTTCTTGCCTTCTAGGTGTTTTTCATTTCTGTGTTAGTATTGCCCATGCACAGATCAAGGTTTTGTTCTATGGTTTCTTTTTTCAGGTTAGACATTTGACAAACAACGTCTAGTTTATCTTGGACTGTTATTACTATATGTTTGGACTTGTTAATTTTAAGGTGAAATTGCTACTGTTTTGTATTATTATTAATGTATTTGGACAACTGTTGTTGAAGAATTAATACTATTCCAGTTGTGGCCACTGGACAGAACGCAGAAATGAGTAGTATACTATATGTGAATTCTTCTCTTTTTTGCTTAACTCCAGGGAATTGTTTTCTCTTTTTTGCTCAACTCTAGATTGAGTTATCTTATCGGGTAAACTGATAATGATCGATAACGGATAAACGGATAATACATATATTATCGGTTCGGTTATTGGTTTATCAAATTTATAAACTGATAACCGATATGCTAAATCGATAATATTTATAACCGAACCGAACCAACCGATGCCTACCCCTAGTCTGAGAAAGTGTGAACAAAAGGCCTACTATGAGTTACAAGTTTCTTTACCTTCTGTAGTAGCAATGAAGTTGTGGAAAAGTTTTAGTAGGCGTTTGGACATGAATTCCAAAAAAAAAAAAAAAAAAATCAAATTTGGAATTTCAATAAAATTTGAATTGAAGATGAAGTTGTGTTTGGTTATAATTTTTGCAACATATTTGGATGTCTTTTTTTTCAAAACCATGAAACATGATTTATACCCCACAACTTGTAAAAAATATCAAAACCACCTCAATTTGATTATCCTACTTGAAATAAACAATCAAAATGCTTTTTATTTTTTTTTATGAAGTAAGTGAATATTATTAACCAAAGGCATCAAGAAGATGCAAATGTTACAAAGAAAAAGAAGTAGCAGCCCAAAAAAAATCAATAAAAGATATATCATAAACAATCAAAATGCTATTGTTTAAAAATATGGGGTAAATTTGTAAAACTAAAAACTAGGAAATTCTCATTTTCAAGTGAAAGAGGAAAAATTGATAAGAATGGGATAACCAAACATTGTTTTCAAATTTTTTTTTGAAAGAAGCAAAAAATTTGTATGTCCAAACGGGCTCTTAGTTTACTTCACACAGTTTTCAGTTTTCCACACCCCCCTCCCCCCAATTTTATCAAGAACCAATTCAGAGGGAGCATGAGATTTAGAATACACGTCATTAATCCAAAAACTAAACTGTTTTAGCTTCATCACTTCGCTTTAAGCTGTCTTTTTTAGTTTATCTCTAAGTAGATGCTCATAATTCATACCCCAATCTACTAATAGCATACATACACGGCTTCATCAGTGCAATTTTATTATTACTCTACGCATCAAAAGTTGAGGGGGGGGGGGGGGGGGGGGGACTAAAAGTGCCCACAAGTACCTATCATGGCTTAAAACTTTAGAAAAGCAAAAAATAATAAGATACCATGATAACAAAAGTAAACAACAATCACTATGCCTCAATCCCAAACAAGTTGGGATCGACTATTTGGATCCTCACTGGCCATGTTTCTTCATTTAAGCTCAACTTATGTCATCATCATACCAAATAAAAATTAAAGTGATAAATATGCTAAATATATATGGTCAAGTTACTCCTAGAAATGCAATAGGTTCAAAATCAATGTGCTAACAAGACCTAAACATATTTCCAACTAGCAAATATCTTAGTTAACTGCGTACCCGCCCTTTAGCCATCTATATTTAGATAGAGAGGGCTTATGAGTGACAGAATTTTAAGCCCAAAAAAAGGGGGTAAGAAATGTGGGGAACACCAGAGCCTCACATAAAAAGATTTGTCTAAGCAATCTCTTTGAGATTTTTAATAAGTCATGGTTTATTAGAGGAATTCTATTAAGGAACCTCCCATAACCATATTTTCCCATCCCTGATGATGAAATGGATAGTTTAATAGTTTACCCAAGAGTTACTCAATGAGATATTTTTCTTCCATTGTGCCTTATCTTTAGCTAAATCTGCACCGATTCCAAAAAAGTGTAGCTCTTTCAAGACATCAAAAACAATGCTTACAACAGATAGTACTTACCAGAATATATTTGAGATTAGCTGTGCTAATGTCCTCTTTAGTCTCATTAACAGAAAACAACCCTAATTTACCGATCATTTCTTCACACTGTCTCAAAATCTCGCAGCCTTTCCTCACAGTGTCCTACAAATCCACAGCCAAAACATACACAGATTCAAATAGCACGCTAAAAAACAGATCTTTCAGTATTATTTCCCAAATATAAATAAAAATTACTTGATCAACGCTCGATTCCGCGGAAGCATGGATTTTTGAACCCTGCTCGAATAGAGCTGGCAAAGGCATCTCTTGCATGCTCAGTTCGCCCATTGCTGATTGTATAAGCTTTCGAACTGGATAGCCAAACCCTAGAAATCAATAATTTGTGAGATTTGAGCCTGAATTTGGGATCTGAAATTGTTGAAATTAGGGTTTGATTTGAATCTGTAGAGAAAGCGGGTTTCTAATGGGATGCTCGAGTAATCTTCGCGGCAAATCGTACGATTCTGGCTAAGGAAATGCTCTCTATGTTTCACTATTTTTAACTTTTTAACATTTGATCGTGATTTACACTATTTCATTTTTTTATTTAAGATACTTAAATTTTGAAATTTTTAATGTGATAATTGCTTTTTACACCTAACGGATAAACCCAATATATGCTTTTACACCTAATCGAAAAAAATGTTAGGTGATGAGCTACTCGTGTCTTTTCTAAGTGGGGCAAATTATTGTTTTCTGATAATATGTGTATTGTTAATTACATATTGGATGAAATGAATAATGGAAGAGATGAAAATTTAAGAGCCAACCTAGATAAACCCTTAGAGTTAGCACAATTTGTCAATTGCATATTTCAAATTATCTAGTAACCAGGGGTGGCAAACCGACGAGCGGGTTGGATATGGGCGGATCGAAAATGAGTAATGTAAAAAATAGATAAATTATCCGGTTCGACCCATATTTAATATAGATAAAATACGGGTTAATCAGTGGATAATATAAATATTCATATTATACCTGACTTATTTAATACGATCACTTTTGGGAGAATTACTAGTCTCCCAAACTTAAGGAACCCCCAATTTGAGGTTTTGCGAATGTAAAAGTTAAACCTATTAGTTATCCATTCTCTAAGTGTATAATATGATTCTTATTCATATTTGACTCGTTTTAAAAAAGTTCATTATCCAACACATTTTTAATTGACAGTATGGGTGGATAATTATTTTATTTTAACCATTTTGCCATCACTATGAATGAGAACCTTTACGTAACTGGTAAACGTGATGTCATGTGACTAGGGAGTCACAGGTTCTAGCCATGAAAACCGCATCTTGTAGAAAATGCAGGGTAATGTTACGTACAATAGACCTTTGTGGTCCGGCCCTTCCTTGGACCCCGCACATAACCGAAGCTTAGTGCACCGGATTGCCCTTTGCCACCACTACTAGTAACCATATTTTCCATTGAGTTGCTAGAAGAACCAATCAAGGAATAACATATCTAATTTTGTTAAAACGTAAATAAAATATTAGAAAAACAAAAATATTTCCCATCCCCATTGTGCTTCTTAATCCCTTGGGTAATTACCCCATCTTTTTCTCCTTTTATAATTGTAATTTTTGCTTTTTTAGAACATTGGAGCCTTCGTTGATTATTATACATTAGATCAACTTATAGCGTGTCTTGGTTGTTTTAAAAAAAGTGTTTTTTTTGTGTGTGTGTGTTTGGGAGGAGGGTTGCATGTGCATAGCTTGTTTATGTCCATTTGAGTGTTTATGTGGCAAAAAACCAAAGAGGTTGAAGGTACCTATAGTGAGTTTGTTGCTCTACTATTTTTGTAGAAAATCCTTATAGATATATGTGGGAGTAAAATTTGTCAAGTGAAATTGTTATGTGATGGTCGTGGATGAAGGTGAAGAGAGTCGAAGTTGGTGGTTAGTGAGTGAGGCGTCGTTGACGTTGACGATGGTCTGATTAGTGCTGGAGAGATGAAGACATTGAAAGTAATTTTTTCGTATGGTTGGCTAAAGGTGGTACACAACATAGGTATTTTATGAGGAATAACTCATTTGTGATAACGACTGAAAGATGGTAATGATGATTGTGTTATTCAATGCTTCATATGCACAAAATTTGAGGGGAAAGAATGGATTTTAACATATATTTGTAAGTAAAAGTGATTGTATTTGTTAAGTTGCATGTTTTTTTTTTGTCTATTAATAAAGATAAGATAAGCGCTAAAAATTTCAAGTACTTATTTTAGATAATATAATGTTGAAATTATAGTTCATTGTAAAGTTTAAGGGTTTCATCATATAGGTAGTTACATTCGAGCATACTAAATTGATCTCCACGGATTTATGCACTTCATGCTTAATTAAAAATAACATAAATATCCACAATCTACCACACATTAAAGCGTATTGTTACATATTCGAACTCAACCATTGAACAAAGATATATATGCAATCATGTTTTTCTTCTTATGTCCGAAATCATATGCATAACTAATCCACATTCGTACCGCGTACAACTGATTTGATAGATTTATCCAGTTGTTAACCTATTATATCAATATCAACCTCTACTTTATTCCTTTTCTTTCCTTTCTTTTTGGGTTTAAACATTAGTCTTACCCAAAAATCAAGGACCAAAACTGAGTTGTAGGAAAAATTGGGGGCTCAAATTGTACCCACTTTCTTGTGATTTTCCTTTTGCCAACTCATATTCTTTGCTACCAAAGCATGCAAATTTTGCTCGAGAAGTCCTCATCATATTAGAAAGTTCAATCCAGAACTTGGTCAGGAATTTGGACTTTGTATATTGACACACAATATACAAAAATAAAAATAAAAATGAAAATAGTAAACTTGAAAATAAAAGAAATTAATACCCACCTCTCGCTTTATCTCCTGTACTATATGTATACAACAAAACCAAAAACAGAAGTAGAGAACTACTTTTTCATCGACATTCACGCGTACACAGATCGTTTTCTCTTCAAACAAACCCTAGCACCAAAAATCTCCCCAAAAAAATTCCCCCTTTTGTTCCAATTTTTACTTCTTATTATTTTTTTTTGTTAATTAATTCAACCAAACTCCTTTTTTTTTTGGAATTTCTGAACCTAACTGATGATGTTGTTTAGGGTTTTGATGAAGAAAACACAGTGATGTACAATTCGGATTCGGGTTGTTGTTCGATTTATATGGGTAAAAAAGAATGCCGGAGTTGCGGAGTGGGGTTGTACGTAAGCGCGGTGGAGCTCAAGTAGCAGCGGCGAAAAAGAAAAGAGGCGGCGGTGGTGTTGGTGGTCGGAGTTATATTAAGACTCGGGCTGCGAAGGCCAAAGCAGCAGCAGCAGAAGCTAAAAAGGTGGTTGAGGTGAAGGAGAAGGAGAAGGAGAGAGTAGAGGTAGAAGAAGTTGAGGAGGAAGAGGAAAAGATGGGGGATGAGAGTGGTGGTTTGAGTGCTAATAATAATAACAATAATAAAGCGACTGCACAAGAAGATGAGAACGCTAATCTTTTTCCTGAACAGGTGCGTGATCATACATTTCTACCTCTGAATGTCCAGAGGTGGATCCAAAATTTCAACTTTATGGATTCCATTTGATTTACTGTGTTTGAAATATATTATTATTGCTTATTTAGTAAATTTTTTAACACATATACAAGGTTTGAGCTAGTGATGATTCGTACCCAACTTGTTTGGGATTGAGGCGGAGTTGCTGTATATACATGGTCTGAGCCAAAGTTATTGGTTTTAGATGAATCCATAACTTTAATACTACCTGCTCCTGGTTGGGGTTGGTTATATGAATTGCTTATATGCTTTATGCAGGCATCATTTTATACCCCTTATGATTTATGCGGGCATCATTTTATGTCCATTATGCTCTATGCGGGATGAGAAGTTCTAACACTTTTTTATTTGTACTTGCATAATATTGGCATGAGATGAGTTTAATTGGAGTAACATGGTTAGTGAGTATTCATGTAATTGACCCTAGTTGCGATGTAGTTGTTGTTGTTACGCTCTATGAGGTGTAGTGGTTGTTGTTATGCTCTATGAGGTGTAGTGGTTGTTGTTGTTATGCAGCTCTATTCGTGCATCATTTTGTTGAAATACTCAAGATTTGTCTTCTATACAACAAATGTCTGTCTAATTTATATATGTCGGATCTTCTTTGTTTTTTGTTCGTTTGAATAATTTTGATGTTGCAGCGTCTTGTGCATGTTTCAAGGGATTTTGTGTGTTTTGAAGCATGAAGTGACCTATTTCTCTGTTAATTTAGGACCATTATCGGGAAAAAGTAAAATTCGTATTTTGTAGACCTCGAGTGCATTGTTCTTGACTGCATAGATGTCATTGGTCCTACTCACATACATGTTTTGTATATATTTGGTCAGTAAGTACGTGAAGTAAATAAGGAGAACACTAGCATCCGAGCCCTAGAATTTATGAATCCTAACAAAAGGTACTTATTAGATCGAGTGTACCTGTGTAGTTATGCCTATTATATTAGGTGAAATTGCTTGATCCAGACCTAGGACGTGCATTTCCCTAGGATTTCCAAGTGATTCTCATACTCACTAATGCCTTCTTTGGCTGAAACATGACATGCGTGAAGCACTTCTACTACTTGCAAATTACACTGCTAGATATTGAGCTTCAATGTGGTTGTGCTGTAAGAATCATTTTTTGGTTTCTGCATGATTTCTGTCTTCAGGTGCAAGTAGGAGGATCACCCCTTTATAAGGTTGAAAGGAAGTTAGGTAAAGGTGGTTTTGGACAGGTGTTTTTGGGTCGCCGTCTTACTGGCGGGAATGAGCGTGGTAACGGTCCCTTGGCTATGGAGGTAATGTGGTTGCTTATGAATCCTCTAGATTTTTCCCTTCTTGGCATCCTTTTTGACAAGGCTAGTTTATCCGTCTACAAGTGATAATTGTGTAATCCACATTGGCTCTCTGTTATGGCTTTAGGTTGCGCTGAAGTTTGAGCATAGAAATAGCAAAGGCTGTAGCTATGGTCCTCCGTATGAGTGGCAAGTTTACAAGTAAGGATGTGATACTTTTGAAATTACTTTGTGCTTATGTTGAAATAAATTTGCAGGACTAAAACATGTGCTTTTTGTTGAGCAGTACTCTTGGTGGCAGCCATGGAGTGCCCAGAGTGCATTATAAAGGAAGGGCAGGAGACTATTATGTTATGGTATGTTTATGGAGGCAGATTTGCTATACTTATAGTAATTATGGAGGATAAAATAATTTGTTTTGTGGATATTCATTTTTAGGAGAAGCATTAGCATTGTGAGTGTGACAACAATTGCGACCTCTTTTGGCATTCTAATTTCAGCCTTCATAGAGAATTAAATATGCATAATATGCAGATGGCGTGATGTATTTCAAGTTATTAAGGCAGTCTCATTTCTGCGCTTTACTAAGCTAAGAATTAGCTTTACTGTTCAATGGGCGTCTTTAGTTTTTTTATTATTCACATATTCAGCCAGTTCTCTTTCAATTGAATGATCAAGACTGGTTTGGTAGTTAC